TTGCCCTACAACTGTTGGTTTGGTTCTTCTCTTCTAAAGGTCTTTTAGATCTTTCTTCAGTTAAGAGAGAATAAAAAGATACAATCTTTCTTTTGATATCATGCTTCATGTGTTCAACCAGTGAAGCAATCACCATAACCATGTGTACCTGTATAGAAGTTGTTGTAAAACACTTGGGAATATTATATGACTCATTCTGGTAGATGGCTTGGTACATGGTTTGGTACTTGTTTGGATTGTTAAGTGTAGAATGTTTTATTTTGAAACAACACTTATTTTCACTGCTAAATAGCCATCCAAAATGTTACTTTTGTAAGATCATAACTCTTTCTACATTCCAAATCAATCTCAGTCTTTTCTAGTGTTCATATCTCATTCCTTTAATTTAGCCGAGGTTGTCTTATCACGACCATTTTGAAAAACAATGTGCTTTGTTAAATTCACTACTGCCAGAAATGGAGAATGCAAAAATAAAAGAGAAGACTTAACGAAAAACTTGTCACTGTTTCAAACATCTTAGTATCCAAAAATACAGAACTACTAGTGCATCTGGACATATCTCTCTTTCTCTCTTGTTTGGTTTTACAGTGTACCCTAAAGCATAAATGACAGAAGCAAGAGAGTCGGAATGTTGTAGAAAGATTTGTCTCAGAATCGAAGCTTACATGTTAAGCGTAAAATCAATCATCTCCTCACTGGTGGTACCGCTCCCCTTCCTCCGGTTCCACGACCAGTAGCTGGAGCCTTTATGATAATATCACAAAGATTCAAGGATCCAACAATTAGTAGTGACAAAGAAGAAACAGGCATTAAGGCCAAATAAGGATTTCAACATGATGTATAGAGAGAGTGAACTTAAGAGGGGCAGTAAATCATGAACAAAGAGGCTTTCAGAAAGAGAGAGAGTGAACTTACTTTCCCTCGCATTGCAGCTCTACCTCTGCCAACACCAAGTGATGAGCTCTTTCCCTGCATCAATTAAGCAAATAAGGTATTATGTATATATAGAGACTCTAATATCATTCTGCATCCAGAGCTCAAAGAGCATATACCTTGATTCTAGCATCTAAGCGCTTGAACATTGGAGCTTGCTTGAGAATGTCTGGTATGATCATAAACCTGTCAAGATCTCTCCATAGGTCAATTACCAATCATCTACGTTTACAAGAATGATCCAATGATTTACATAAAATAAGAAAGACGCAAAAACACAAAAGAAGTGTTTATAGCACCTGACTTTGCTGCCTCGAATGAAGACATGCTCAAGCTGTGATATCTTACCATCCTGTAACAAGCATTGGAATACCCACAACAAAAGTTCAGTGACAACTAACTAGAGAACACATTAAGTTGCACTTGAAATATACATATGTCGAAAGACTAATTATGAGAAATAACACTTTAAGAGTGAATAAAGACTCTGAAATTTCGAACGGGAAACTCGGAGTTCTTTGCAAAACTTTAGATAATTCACCTTTTGATCACTATGATCCTAAAGAGCAACTCACGCACGTTGAATGTAACAATACAAGTACAAAAGTAGAACTAGAACCTTCCTTCTCTACTGCCGAGTATAGATTTACACATACCCCATAGACCAATACTATGTTTAGTCAATCTGATTAGTACTACTACTAATCAATCATGTCCACGATTCTCAATCCCCCCAGGGACAATAAACGACTTTTATAAACCCAGAAAAGGAAAATCAAAGCTAACTACAGCTAAAAAACTTCCAGGCTCGCCAAATCTAGGGTTTTAACAGCACTTACATCAACAATGGAAGAGAAGCTCAATCTATGGCTCAAAAAGCTGTCTCGAATAAAATGAAATCGAGAACTTTGAGTTAAGACGGTAGATTACCTTGGCAGTATAGGTAATGTCCTCGAGCTGACAGTTCCAGTTATCCTCACACTCGATCATGCTTCCTCTGTAGACATCGCCGCTCTTTAGCTCCACCGTCACTATATGACCGGAAGCCTCGTGAAGAAGCTTCACCGGTATTCCCAAACTTCGGCTCA